AGGAGGGGGTAGGGCTGAGCCTTACGTACACTTTCCAGCCTATATATAAAGAAAATGCAAGAATCCATTTTTCGTCAGGTTGATCATAAAATTCAAGATGAAATAGAGGAAATCAGCACATCACCGATGATCGGACGATGCTCCTGTGATTTCTCTTGATTCCCATCTCCACTCTGAGGGATGATGAGTAGTGACTTCATCCTCATGTCAACTTTATACTCATAACTATTCCAAAGACAAAAAAAAAATCTTCAATTTTGCTCAATGTGTTTTTGTTTATTAAACTAAATGTATCACTAATATTTTCCATAAACTTACTTCAAAAATTTAGTTTCACTTACAAAAATTTTGGCCTAAAAATGTCACTGTTTTTCTAAAAGGAAACGTAATTCTTAGATCTGCGATAATTGAAAAAAAGGGTGGGGGGGTCGGTTAAATACGGTTTGTATCAAATAACACGCGCACTTCATCACCTATTATACTAATTACAACCTTGGAAAAAATTGAGGAAATCGATTTAAATATTGAATTATACTAAACTGATTCTTCAACGACAAATAAACGTTGCGCTAAAGGGAATTTCTTCAAGGGAGCAACTTTAGTGATGCAAGAAGCGTATACATTTCAGTGTGAAAACAATGACTTACTTGTTGCGATGAAAGTGTCTAGTTGTGATCGAATCGTTAGATTTCGTTCTACTTTCTAGCTTGATTGACGCTTGATCAACATGACAGAAATGGGGCGCTGGTTACTAGATTTTCTGAGGATCGCATATAATATGTACAATCAGAACTGTAATAATCACTAACGTTCTATTATATCCGTGCAATTTTCAAGTGATAGAACTCGATTCCAAAATGTTGATGAATTTATATTGGTGGCGGGGAAGTAGGGGTGGAGTGTCTCATTTCAGAGCTGCTTCGTACAGTGGACTCTCTATATTTCGAAAACCTCGTTAATTCGAAGGAAATACTGTTTCCCTTGAAAATCTCTCCATAATTCGAAGAAAATCGATGTATTTTTCTCCCCTCGTTATTTCGAAATTTTTAAGCTGGCGCGACCCTCTATAATTCGAAATTGCGACGAAAATTCTGTCTGTAATTCGAAGTGTGGGAAGTAAATGGTCCTCCCTCTATAATTCGAAATAAGATGGTACATTCCCTATACAATTCGAAGTCAACTGTTCATGTACCTGGGTGTCTGAAAGAGCTGATAGGATTGTCAACATTAAGCAAGTCCCGCGAGTCTCCCCGCGAAAAGCTCGATCAGCTGATTAGTAAGCTGCTGATTAAATATAAATAATTAATAATTAATGATGACTTAGTGTAATTTTTACTTCCTTTTCTAATTCGAAATTTCTCCACATTGAATCTCTTGGTTTCGAACTCTCTTTATTTCGAAACCTCGCTAATTCGAATAAAAAGCCGATTCCCTTCAATTTCGAATTATCGAGAGTCCACTGTAAAAATGGCACGCCTCTGGATATAATTTAAAAACGACTTCGAGATGAACGATGTGTGTCATTTTACTCACTTTCAGACCACCTTGGGCTCCGGAAACACGGGCAAGGGCTTCGGAAACATGGGCAAGGGCGGCAAGGGCGCTGAAAAACAACAGAGGTCCCCTAGAGGTGCCGATGGACATCGGATTTCTTGCGATAGAAACACGGCTATGGGAAATTATCGAGGTGCTCGGGACATATTTAAAGGTAAACTCAAGATAGCTTAAAGCTCCGATCTTTCTTCGGTTCCAGTTTATCACTGACTGAAAAATCGTTCGTTGCCTCAGACTAATACTTTTGAAAGAAAAAAAATTAAATTGCGAAGCAGTAAATTTTCCTGTAAGTACGACACGCGCTGTACGACTACGCGACGCTGACGCGCGTGATCGACACGATTGAATAAAAAACTGGCGCGCATCGTGTCCTTCAACGAAAATTCCAAAATAGATCGAACTCCTCTTCGAAAAAAGTGCGTGGCATTTAAAACGCACAGAACGCGATTGACAAACATAATCTCCTTGTTCTATGATGCCTTTTTTTTGGAGTGGAGGGGGAGGGAGAGGAAGATTGTAGCGATACACGCAACTTGCAATTAAAATCACGTGTTCATCTGAGTGTCATGGCGACCTCTCTTACCCTTCATAGCTATCCCGCAGCGCGGGGAAAATGTCGGGAAAGTTTTTTTCCTCGAAAATCAGGGAACATTTTAAGTGCCATTGCGGTTCACTGCATGGATTTTTTATCACTGATGCTGCGTAAGATGCCAATGTCGCTAATGGTTTCCATCCAAGTACTAATATCGCTGATGTCATCACGGAAAAAAAAACTTAGCTGTGATTCTAGCACTTAAGGTAAAAGAGCGCCAATTACAGGCAGTAGTGCTGAGCCTTACAGCTTCAGAGTCCAGCTCTACAGGCTGTAGGCGTAGGGCTCCCGACTCCGTGCTACCGCCTGAAGTTGGCGCTATTTTACGTATAATAGTACCTGAGAAGTTTTTTTTTTCCGTGATAGATAATAGCAGGAGGGCCTTCTTCTTGAGTAGCCACAAGGGGCGAATTTTCGCGGTCGCGAATATAATATGTGTCGTTTCGTAAAATTAGCCTCATTTAAGCAGTTTAACAAAGAGAGGGAGTCGAAAGCAGATAACCGATGTTAGTTGCTACACGGAGAAAAAAAACTTCGTGCGTGGGACCCGAAGTTGAGGTCATATGGATCTCTGAAGTTTTCGGATCACGTATCTAAAAACTTGAGGTCCAGCTGCCGAAGTTCGGGTCAGACATCGAGGCACTTCGGTATGCACCGGAGTACTTCAGATGTGTGACCCGAACCCTCCGGTATGTATCGAAGTACTTCAGATGTCTGACCCGAACTTCGGCGGCTGGACCTCAAGTTTTTAGATACGTGATCCGAAAACTTCAGAGATTCATATGATCTCAACTTCGGGTCCCACGCACGTTTTTTTCTCCGTGTATGTAGCATTGTGGGGGATCAGGCCCGCCACAAGGGGGGGGATACTGGGTCCTTGGTACCGGGGCCCGGGCCCTGGAGGGGCCCGTGACGCAGGTGACAAACCACTACGAATTCATGTGTAACCCTTGTCTCGTAGGGAAAATTGAAAAAATTACCCTAAAAATTCCGCAAAAGGTGAATAAAGTTTCAAAAACACGCTAGGGCACTATAAAATTTTTCTTACTTTTTTAGAGATTTTCAAGATTTTGAGTATATGTAGAATGATATTTTTAGTAACTGTGTTTCATTTTCTGCCGTTGTCGGATGCTAAGAGGCTCCTTTCTGGGCATCCTCGACTTCAATGGCTTAACTCCTTTGCCATAAACGTACGAAAGGGGAGTCCAGGGGGGCCCGGCTCCCCATAGAATTGAAAATTATCATCTGCCCCCTCAAAAAAAAATTTATAGATGTTTTGAATGCAACAATTCGAAAGCTTTTGGTGCTGAAAGTAAACAAAAAGGCGTAATTATTCTGCAGAAATTGATGGAAAATCTCCATCATAAGAGTTTCATAATGCGTCCAAATAGATTTAAAATTTCAAAAATTTCCCGGGGGAGGCCCCCCGCCCCCCCCCCCTGTGCTAGGGGCCCGGGCCAGAAAATTGGTACCAGGGCCCGAGATGGGATGTGGCGGGCCTGTGGGGGATTACAACAATCAATTTTCGAGTTCAAGACAGGAGGTCGATTAAAAAATCCAAAATACAGCACTGACTGCTGCCAATAGGATGAACACCTCGGGGGAGAGGTGTTTCGTTTTGAGATTACACCGGTTCGTATTCTCCATCATATTCGATCGCAAAAAATTACTTGGGTTTTCGGCTTGAACCGTTCAGCGAGTGACGCGCCTCACTGCCGACCGAGAAGAATCACTGGGATGGACTCGAGTATGGTGAGTGAGGTTGTGACTTAAGTACAGTAAATGGATAGTACGGACGCCGGGTTATAACCGGGGAGGCACGAGGAGCTACTAGAATCCAAAAAATGGCGGCGACTCTAGGTGGGGGCGGGTGAACAAGGATTGTTACCAACCTTTGGCGTTTATCACTTGCTCCACCTCCACCTGCATGTTAGCTACCTTTAATTGCCATATTAAGAAGAGGTTCAAGTTGAAAGACGCTTTCAACAAATGTAATGCACAATATTGGATTTAAAACTGAATAAATAAGTCTACCTTCGGAATTTGAGTAAATATGTCTACCTTCGGAATTTCAGTAAACATGTCTACCTTCGGAATTTCAGTAAATTTCATGGCCGTGGAGGCAAATAAAACCATATTATCTTCACTTGGAATGATCTGCATGTGACGTTCGCAATTGTTTTGGATCCTAAGAACTTCATAAAAGGCCTAAAGATAACTGATTGTGAATCAATCACGAGTGAAACCTTCAGAGGCCATACTCTGTCTATAAGGGTGACCTCGTTATGACTTCTCTGGTCAAATCTGGAATTTAAAAAAATTAATAATTCTGAAGCGTATACAGCTGTCGAGCAATCCGCGGGAAACGCACGCGGCAAAATCTGCACTTTTTCCGAAATGAGCTTCGCTTTTACGCAGTAGATCTAACTCTGCAGTCCGCCTTCACAAAAATTTCATCGTCAAAAAAATTTCTGTCATATGAACCGTCTGTACGGAGTTCCATATCGGTCATATTATATTTTTCATGTAACTGTACTCTTACTTCTGGGAACTGTATCCTCGATTTATGCAAATGGGATTTTTCTATGATATACTGTTTGGGTTGAAAGCTCGGTTGCAATGACCCAAGAGTACGGTTGCATGGACGTACTTCTGCCGAACGGAACTATGTGCCTTAAGGCATGAGCCCCGAGACCCATAAGAATGTATGCATAACAGGGCTCACGTTATAATGTACATAGTTCCGTTTGGCAGAAATCCATCCACATAATCGAGCAGTGCTGGCCGATATACTGAAAAACGACGTTGGAAAATATTCGAACGTTACCAGAGGTCCCCGGATAAAATATTTATTTTTTTGTGGGCAAGTTCGTAATGTTTTCCTGTGAAATTTTCAGATACTTTAAATTTAACTTTAAATGAAACTCCCTGAAAAATTAAAAGAAAAATATCCAAAATTTTCCTTGAAAATACGGGTTTCATCAAAGGAAATGTGCCAACTTCTAATTGCTCATAGCCTTCACAAGGGTATTTCCCTTAGCACAGCAGGAGTATAGAGAATAGAGAGTAGTTATGTGATTTCCGACTTACACCGTCGATATACGTAAATACAATAAAATACATATTCGTAAGACTTAACAAATATTCAATTACTATACATTTTACAATTATATGTAGTTGCTTGCAAATATGGTCCAGGTTTTTATAATTGACGATTTATGACGCTTCATTTCGGATCGATTGACTAGTTTTGATTGGCAAAGCTTCCCGGCAACAACTATAAAAAGTGACTTCATCGGCGCTCCAGTACACAGACATATCAACTTTAATGTCCTCCATGCACGTATCCTTTAGGGATGATCCTTAAAACACTGGGAAAAAAAATCTCGGTGTATTTACTAAGAAAAGGATATAATTACCAAGAATTCAGGGTTCTATTTGATCCCAGTTTTTTCTTGGTAAAATTACCATTTATGGAATTGGTAATTTTACCAAAAATCTCGGTAAAATTATTGAACTTTCTCCGTAATTTTACTGGACCTTGGTAAAAATGCCAATATTTTTTATCGACTGTGGTAGAATTACCGAGATAAAATGGCAAAGTTACCAGGAATTGATTACCAATAAAAGTGGTATTCTTACCTGAAAAAAACAGTAAAAATACCGGTTTTTAGGTAAGCTTACCAGTCTGTCTTGGTAAAATTACCAATAATTGGTAAAAAAAAAGTCAGATGGTAAAGGTACCAACGGACCTTGGTAAAAACGCCGAGAATTTTTTTTTCAGTGAATAAAGGCAACTTTGATTAACTGTAAGGAGTGGACGATGACGCATAATTGGACCCATATTTGTACTTAGTCCCTGGCGTAGAATAGGAGGTTTGCAGAATTTGTTTTCCTTTGTTGGTGGCCCTCGATTGAGTGGAGTACGTTTTTGACAGAGAAGCGGTACCGGGAACGGGACCGCCCGTGAAATAGGGATACACGGGTTGGTTGTTCAAGGGAGGCTCAGAGACTGGGCGACGCAGTTGGCTTGTTGGCTTCGGCACTCCGCACGGTAATTTCATTTTCTCTTTCTCCATTAGCTCACGAAATTTTGGGTAGTTGTCTTCCCTGTTGGAGAATATATTTGTGTTAAAATTATCTCCATAAGGCGTGTTTTTGTCATGTACTTTTGTTTCCAAAAGCTTTTTTTCAAAGTTTCAAGGACACAGTGGTGGCAGCAATTTTTGGGAAGTACTTTTCCCTGTTAGAAAGTATATGTATGATAGAGGTATGGCCATTACTCCCGTGCAAAGGAAAGACGCCGTATGAACCATCAGGCGTTGCCAAATTTCCTTCGACCGGTTAAGAATTTTCAGGAAAATTTGAAAATATTTCCCTTCCGTTTTTTCAGAGGATTTCATTTGTAATTTGATCTAAAATGTCTGAAAATGTTATGACAAAATATTCATAGCTATCTGTAAAAATATATATTTTCTGAGAGGAAATTTGGCAACGTTCGAATGCTTGTACGGCGTTTTTACTTAGCACGGCAGATTAACTATGTAAATTTTTATAAAGTTTTCAAATATTTAATGATTCTAATTACAAGTTTATTAACATTATTAATATTAATTCCTGTCTTGCCAGTTAAGTTGATTTGGTTTTAATAAAAAGTGCATTATTTTGTTCCTGCAGTGATACTATTGTACCAATAGGTCCGATTTAAAAGTCCTGCAAAATCTCGGTGACTTTTTGGCTAATTGAGCTGTCGGCTTGGAGCATTGGGGGTATTTTTAAGTTAAAACGGCAGCTACAAAATCCCCCTTAAAAAATAAACAAAAAAAAAAAATTCGGAGGTTCCGCTCAAGGAGGAGCACAGATTCTTCTTTTTTTCAAATGACAACTCACGCCTTTTGGATACATCCTTAAAATGGACCCAGAACATGGAAAGTTTATGCTCGAATTTTGGATCACCGTTTCAAACCATTCCAAAACAGCGGCCGGTTAAAGTTAAAAATAAACGAAAAACTTCCTCTTAACAATCAATTAACAGATAGTCTTCCATCTACCTCAAGGTTTAAGGATTTTATTGCACTAAAGAACACGAATTTGACGTCAGTTTTCCAAATTACACAATCCGCTGTCTTGAAATGGATTGAGCCTGTTGGAAATCTATAGCGTCAAATTCATGTTGAGCATTGCAAAAAAAAAAAAAAAAAAAAAAAAAAAAACCTGGGATATTAATTTAATTTTACTACATTTTAAGGAAATCCGATAATAGGATGCCGAAAGCCGATACATTACTTTTATGACATTTTGAATTTTAAACGGCTGTCATTCTGTGACGGTAGGATTTATGATGACTTCAAACTTGCGCCGGATTTTTTTCTTTATTCTTTTCTCTTTTTTAATGTCCTTTCAACGAAATATCACAAGAGGGTATCACCATTAAAAAAAATTAATGTATAGCTCCCTCTGAGAGCTCCTTCTGAGCGGGAACCATTTGAGAAGGACTAAAATCTCCAGTGGCGAGGCGTGAATGATCGATTATATCGATATCTCCAT